CTTTCCTTTTTCTTTAACACTGTCAGGTGTTTTCTTAAGCTTTTCTTACGTTTCTCTGTGTTACACAGAGACCGATGGGTGTGTCTCTGAAGCAGTTCGATGGTCTGATGCGTTTTTACAGACCACGCATGTCTGCAAGAGACCGCTTCCTCACTTACAAAGCTCTTAACACATCAGGGGCTCCCATGCTCAGGTAACTGTCTCCCTTCCACTTCTCAGAATGAAAATCCTTTTACATTGATTTGCTTTGTCACTGATTTAATGGTGGTGTGTTCTGTTGCAGCCTGCAGGACTTTTATAAGTTCTATGAGGTCACTGGCCTTAAATGGAAGGTAATTAGCCTGACATTTCTGCTGTGTAGCTGCTCTATTTTTGTGCTCCTCTGGTTGATTCAAATATACATTTACTGTCAATCTGTGTGTTGTTTAGGCACGTCGCAGTGGAGAACACTGGTTTGATGATCTTCCACACACAGCCTTCCTCATTTTCAAAGGAAAGTTCTCTTTCTCTCTTTTCTTCTGTTGTCAGGCAAAATAAGATTGGCTCTTGATCCCTTATTGTGGATACTTTCCTCTCTAATTTATTAGGTATCCATTTGCTTGTGAAGTCAAAGGCCTTTCAGTATACTATGTGTAAGTGTAATCATTGATCTTCTCCCAGCTGCTGTCAGTGATACTGATCAAAGTCTCTTATCAAAGTTTTTTTGTGACTGTAGATGTGGTGGTGGCCATCAACGGTGTTTGGATCCTTGTGGAGACGTACCAGCTGAATAGTAAGATCTTTAACCGTAATCTGCAGTACTGTGCAAAAGTCACGAACCCCTCATATCTTGATATTTTGCCTTAAAGGAGCCAGACTTTCTTGTCATTTTAAATTGGTTTTGAGCAATAGTTCTCCATCCTTTCTGGAGGTCTTTAAAAGTTTTTCTTTCGACATTGGCTGCTTTTTTAACTTAGGCCAGGAATGTTTTTGTTGTTTGATAAACCGCTTAACTCTGACCTATGACTCATTCAATGATAAAAAAGGCCCCTAACTCAAGGGATGAACCAGTGTTGTGTCTACACATAAAAGACAACTAAGCAAAAAAAAAAAATTATTAATATTCTATCTTTAGTCATATTATTACTAGCAACCTGATGTAGAAAGGGATAACTTGTTTCCCTTTCTATAGTTGAATCTATGAAAAACAGCCCAAATGAACAACATCTGAAAGTCACGCCCTTAAGAAATTGAAAGAAATTCAGCAAAGACCTGATGCAGGACCCCGAGAGATGCATCTGGCCGTTCAGTCGATCCATCTACTGTTCACTGAAGCCTCATCAGAAAAGGTCTCAGTGGAAGGGTGGCTGTCAAGAAGCCATTCTTGAGGAAGGGAAACGGGAAGAAAACGCTGAGGTTTGCCAAATTACACAAGAACTGGACTGAATCAGTGGAAAATGTGTCTGATAGATTGAAGAACACAAATTTGACATTTTTGGTCAAATCATTGTCAGTATGTACAGAGGAAGTCAGAAAAGAAGTACAACAGTGAGTGTCTACAGCCATTTGTAAAACATGTTGGAGACTCTCTCATTGTTTGGGGCTCCATTTCAGCCGGTGGTGTTGGGGCTGTTGACAGGATTGTGAATGCAGAAAAGTACTGCCAGATTTGGATTCACCATGCAGTATATTCTGCAAAACGTCTTAACTGACAACAGCTTAATTATTTAGCATGACAATGAACTCAAACACATTGGCAATGTGTTTAATCTACCTAGGTAGGTTAGCTTCCCCAGAACCTGGACCTCAACATTATTGAAGCAGTGTGGGATCATCTAGATGGAGAGCAGAACTAAAAGGGAGCCAACATCCAAAGAAGAGCTTTGAATGTCAGTATTCCTGAAGACCTATGCCTATGAGAGTTCAGGCTGTGCTGAAGAATAAAGGTGGTCATACCAAATATTGAATTTCAAGCTCATTATAATTGCACAAACTCAGTGTTTGCTTTATACATGTATGTTTGCATGTGTTCCAGTGAATAACTGCGCTTAATTTCCTGGCAATATATTAAAAAAAATGCCCCAAGACTTTTGCACAGTACTTGCACAGTACTAAGGCATGTGTTCCAATACTCCAGGTGTTTTACCTTCCTCTCCTCTTGCAGGTGGATTTTCCTGGTCCAAATTGGTTCCCTGGAGTTACATTGTTTTTCTGACCAGTAAGTAGGCTGCATGGCACCCTCCCCACCCAAACCCTGCACCCCACATAGAAAGTCCAGATAGTATTAAAATGTCATAAGGTGTCGAGGATTAATTACAGTCGTTTACACTGTGTGTCTGTCCTTCCACTTTCAGTTTATGGTGTAGAAGTGTTATTGAAAATATCAGGTTTGGGGCCAGTTGCCTATTTCAGCTCTGGGTGGAATCTGTGAGTAACACACATTGAAAACACAAATCTGTGCTGCATCCAAAACTCAAACTGTGCACTCTGTTAAACACAAACAATGTCTAAATCAACAGACTCCATTTGAGTGTGGAAATTTTAGGAATCTTTAATAATTAAACGTGACATGTTGTTTTTCAGTAGGCCTACTTATATTTAAAAGAAAATCACAGAAATACCTCTGAGCTGATATGAAACCCTGTTTCTCTGCTTTTGCTGGTAATCCTCATTGTGCTCTTCCGTCCAGGTTTGACTTCTCTGTGACGGTTTTTGCCTTCTTGGGCCTCATTGCTCTTGCCTTCGATAAGGAGCCGTTCTACTTTATTGTAATTCTCAGACCGCTTCAGCTGCTAAGGTATGATTTTCAATCTCCTTTAACGTGACAGCATATATGCACATAATGGCAATAGTCATTTATTTTACATTCAAATTTCTGTGTGTTGCCTTTTGCAGGTTATTTAAGATAAAGCAGAGGTATCGTAATGTTTTAGACACCATGTTTGAGCTCTTCCCCAGGATGGCCAGTCTAGGGTTGACATTAATCATCTTCTACTATTCCTTTGCTATTGTGGGAATGGAGTTCTTTGCAGATGTGGTTTACCCCAACTGCTGCAAGTGAGTAGTCGTGTCATGAGACGCAAATGGAAAAAGTGGGTCTCTCCATTGGCGATTCATTACTTCATTAATTTATTCTTCCTTTTTTCTCTCCCTCTCAGTACGAGCACAGTGGCCGATTCCTACAGACTGATCAACAACACACAAGGCAACAAAACAGTGCTGGAAGAGGGCTACTATTATCTCAATAACTTCAACAACATCCTCAGTAGCTTTGGTAATAATCCCTTTTTCCTTTTTGTCAAAATTCTGTATTTGTATATTATCTACATCTGTTGTGTGTTCATGTGCGTTATGTTTTCTAGAATTTTAAAAACATTTACTCATTTTTTGTTTATCTCCAGTGACTCTGTTTGAACTGACCGTGGTCAACAACTGGTACATCACTATGGTGAGTTTATCTGTGGTTCAAAATCTGTCGCCACTCGGCAGCCTGAGCACAGATCGTCGGGTGTCTGACTGCTTTTTGCTCTTTCACAGGAAGGAGTGACGTCTATGACGAGCCACTGGAGCCGTCTGTACTTCATGACTTTTTATATAGTTACAATGGTGAGTAGGAATGCGAACAGAGGAACAAAACAAAACTCAGAGGTTTTGCATATCTGAGACAAATTGAAGCCTTTTTTTTCCTTTTTCGATGTTTCTATCCTGCCCTGAGGAGCCTGTGTAGTCTTACTTTAATGTTATCCTCTGCATAATCTACTGAAGAAGCAGTGTGTGGGAATGTAACCATATTGCATACAATGTTTTGTCTGTGCAGGTGGTGATGACCATTATCGTGGCGTTCATTTTAGATGCATTTGTGTTCCGCATGAACTACAGTCGCAAGAACCGGGAACCGCTAGAAAATCCAGAGGGTGGGTTTGAGTGTGTGTGAGATCGTATGCAGGTTAAGAGTTGTTAGCCAGGATCTAAATTAAATGTGTTTGTACACGCTGTAGATGAGAATGGGATCGTGTTTGAAGTAGAGGTGAGTCGTGATGACGTTCTCGCCGCTCTCGAGCTGTACAAACAGATGTGCCCAGGATCGTCTTCCCTCAGCTCTCTCCAGGGAGTCTTACAGACTATGGACAAAAGTGGGGTAAGAACACACGCAAACAGCAAGAAGTCGTCTTCTTCTGCTCTTTAAGTCCCTCTAATTAATTTTTACTCCTGATTTGTTGTGCGCAGCACTCGTCTTTAGTGTACCTAGGTCGCAGGTCTAGGACGAAGAGCGACCTCAGCATGAAAATGTACGAGGAGGAGATACAGGTAAGAAACTAAAGATGTAATCCTGAATACCATGTCAGGACTTGGACTATCATGATGTGTTGGTCTTTTCTGTGTTGTTTCTTAAGGAGTGGTATGCAGAATATTCGAGGGAAGCCCTGCCTGAACCAGACCAAAGCCTGGAGCGGGATCCAGACAGCCCCATGCCTGACTTGTCTCCCTTCCCAGAGCCTCAGCTCAACTCACAGACTGGACCTCACAGCATCAATTAATGCAAAGTTTGCTAGGGAAACATGCACATTGTCATTCCAACGTTTTCCTTTAAAGGCAAAATTAGGAAGCCTGGACTCCCATATTATGTGTGCATATACTGCTGTTGGCCTTTTGTGCCCTATGGTAAACCATGACGCATCTAAACCTGATGCCTTAGTTTAACGACTCCTCTGATCAGTATTAACACACCCACTGAGTTTTCCAAAGACCGAACTATATAAACACTTGATACTCCTTTTAGCTCAACTGAACAAATTATGACATTTTCCCTCAACTAATGTCTCAGCAGACTTATAATATTTTACTTTTATATAACTTCTTATTCTGTAATGTATTTGAGTTTATTTGAATAAACTGTTAGAACTTGTCAAACTGATGTTCATTGATGTTGCTGGATTATAACACTGCTGGCTGTAAAAATTACCTATTTACTCTATTTAGAGAAGTTAGAGGGAAAAAAATGAAAGCACATACACTCCAAAAAAATTAAACCAAAATCATTTAATTACCCCAAAGCAGCATGCACAAGTCATTAACATTTAGATCAATAATTAATGGAGACAATTCAGTGTTTCAAATTACAAAAGGCACAGTGTGAGTCGTTTCAGTCCTCCCTGAGCAGACTTTGCTCGCCTGATTTCATTATCCAACCACAGGAACTCTGTGGGTAGTAGTCAAGTGGAACAAAGGTTACAGCTGATTCTTGTAAAAAAATAGTGCATAAATAGTTGTAGTTGTAATTTTTCAGACCGGCCACAGCATCAGGTCTACGTAACACGAATCTTGCCAAACTCTGTAAGAAGTGCAATGATAAGGAAGATGACATAGAAGATGAGGAGAAAGATGCCATAGGCCCGACCCAAGTGGAAGCGGCACAGTGGAACGATGACAAAGGACAGGACCAAAGACAAACCCAGAGATCCTGCAAGAATCCATGTCAGCAAACCTTCTGGTTCAACCTGAGAAGGAACAAGAACAAAGGCTTATTATCTTCATAGTGTCTGAAACAGGCTCGTGTAGCTTGGGTTAGATTACGCTGCATCTTAGAGGAAATTACCTGCACGTCGGCATGTGTTTGGAGCATTTGCACCAGACATCCTAAACCCACTCCAAACAACATGTCTGAAGGAAGTAAGAGTCAAGGATACTTAAAAGCCTCTTTTATACATGCATGATAGGTGTTGTTTTACAGAGAGTCACAAAAACAAGGATACTGAAAATGATGCCTCCAAAGCAGGCAGATATAGCCATCCGTGGGTAACCCTGCCGAGCGATGGTGATGTCAGAAAAGCAGTCTGAAAATAAGAGACACAATTTCTTTTAAACAACTAAAGTTACATACAGTATGTTTTTGGAGAAAAATACTGAATGAAGTTTTTAAGCATTACCTCCAATGCTGTTTCCCCAGGCCAACAGAGTCAATCCCAGCACAGTGTTGCTCAGACGCAGCACAACCCCGAGCATGTGCAGAAGACTGACCACTTCAGAGGCCGCTGCACTGATCAACACTGCACTCACCACAAACCCCAAAAGAGCAAAGAACTGGAGGGGAGGGGAAGGACAAGAAATTTACAAACAAGTATCATCACAGCATAAATGTAAAGACCTGTGATGTAGCTTTAATCTTGAATCAATATGAGAAACGCAAATATTTTAAGCCACCTTAGAAGCTTGATGGCAGTGTTGCTAAAACAAAACCAGCAATTACCGGATATCCATCAGCCTCAGCTGTACTTAATTTGTGTTAATTAGCAAATGTCAACTAAATCAATGTACTCAACATGCTAAACCATTATACCTGCACTCAAACTCATAGCATCACTGTGCATCAGAAGAGCCAGACACATAAGGGACACAGCACTCAGAGAATAATGAATAAAACAGCAATAGGAGAGTTAAATAATGCCAAACGTGGCAGGTGACTTGCCTCTGCCCCAGTAAAGCACATCAGTAATCAACAAACAAGGAAAGATAAGCTGTAGATAAATATGCAAAAACAACTGGCTCATGAGGTCCATGAGTTTGTATTGTGTGGTAGCAGCTATATCTACAGGGTGTAATAAAGATGCATGTAAGTGTAGTGTATTGTGTTGTTCTTGGAGGTTTTTTTTGTGGTCCATGAAACAACAACAGACACAGAAAACACAGAAGAGTAACTGAAGCCTGAATGTGGAGTAATTTTGCACATGTGCAGTAAAAGAATAGCGATAAATGCTTTCTACATTTATTTGGCCAGTGAATTCAAAGTTTCGTTTTTAGTCATTTTTTAAAAGACTTCACAGTTAAAGTTAAATTAATACAAGCACCTTTTTCTATACCAAATCATATTTTTACCCAACAGTCACACACTTGCACTCTGATGATTGCATCAGGGGAAAGTAAGGATACTTCGACATCAGTCTTCTGATTAGCAGACCACCCGCTCTACTTCCTGAGCCACAAATGGCCTTGATGTTAACAGCACCCAGTATTCCCCAGCAGACTCCTCTTTTAAGTACTAATCAGACAGGACACTGCCAAACTTTGAAAATCAAACAGTGCTCAGTTATGGCTGCAAACTATTCTCAGATGTGGAGCTCGGGCGCGGGGGGGGGGGCAACAGTGCCAACTACTGCACCACTGTCCCACTTGGCTACAGTATTACAAAAAGGAGTAATCATCATCACACACACTTACTGAGTGATATCTTGGAGGACAGTCATTGCTGGTTGAGCAGAAGACAATAGCAGAAACGAAAAGTCCCAGCAGGAGAAACAGCAGCCAGAGGGGAAACTGCCCTTGGATCATATAATTTCCATCTGATAAATTAAAAAGAAAATAATTTAATCATATGCTTATTTTGATTAAGACTAGGACTTCAAGCTGCTTCTGTTGTAAAATGTTAAGCACTTACACGCTCCAGACTGGAAGACGAGCACACACACCAGAGGAGCAGTGATCAGGTGGAGGCAGTTTAGGGGGCGTCTCCAGTTTCTGTCTTCTTTGTCAGGGTCGACCACAGGGATACAGAGCAGCAGCAGCACTTCCAGAGGAGTCTGATGGGTGCAGACCAAGAACCACAGAATAATTTACTTTAATTTACATTGAAAGACAAGTTTTGACTGGATTTCACTTAAGACTGTGAACCAGTACCTTGAATACTTTAAGGACTTTCCACTTCCATGATTTCCTCCTCCACCTACGGTTGTCGACTGGATTCAAAGAGCTCAGCAGGATTTGACTTGTAGACTCAGAGTAGGGCAGAAGTGGTCGATACTCTGACTCTGCAACACACAGGTGTAAATTATGATCTGATCACTCAGGAATGTGCTGCAGTAAATTTACTTTTGGTTTATTTTTTGTTTGGTTTATTTTTTTGTTTTTGTTTTTTTAAATGGAGGCTGCTGCATTCCTACCATACTCCTGATGAATACTCCTGCCTGTCAGACAGGGAACGTCATCATCTGATGAGTCAGACGAATGAAAGTCTGCTTCAAAGAAAAAAAAAAACAAAAGAAAAAACAACATCACTTGGAACTGTGTGGTTTTTATTTGTCTGTGTGTAAGAGCGTGTGTTTATATATCCAACCTGGAACATGTGTAACATTCTGGACACTCGTGTTGTCAGAATACTTTTGCCGGTTGTAAATGAACGCACTGATGATAACAATCACGACGTACAGGACGTAGAGGCCAAGGTACCCTAGAAAAAAAAAAAAAGAAAGATCTTATAGTAAAGACATGTAGGGATGATGAACATTACACGCACGCAAGCACACACACACAGACATGTTTTCCAACTAATTAAAACTAGTCTTGACTAGTTTTTAAAACTAGTCTTGACTAGTTTTAATTAACCTCTTCTTTTTGGCCCTATGGGTTTCACACCTAAGCTGTAAAAACCAGACCAACGACATAGCTGCTGATCTGGCTCACGATCAATCACATTTCACAGGATATTGCAATTTGTGAAGAGCAGAAAGAAGGTGTTAAGTTTACTTGTCATTAGTGGTAAAAACTAATGAGGACTAAAGGCTCACACACAGTCGTATTCAGGACAAATTAATCAAATTTACCACCATGCCATGTTTGAGATCAGGAGTATTATGACTACAGATGACTAATGATCACGTGTTTAATTACGCTAAGATGTTTGTGTGGTTCTCGTAAGAAACAAAAGTCATTTTTTGGGCTTTCTAACTGACTGACACTCAGACAAAAATCAGAAGCAGAATAACAAAAGTGAAAATGAATGAGCTGTCGAGTCTAGCCAGGATTCACTGATGGCGAATTAGAACAAATGTAAATAGATTTAAAATTATAATATTTGTTCAAAATTCAATGAGAAGCTTTCTAAAACCGGACCAACAAAGAAAAATCGAGAGGTCAAATAGGATGCATAATTAATGCAAGACCATGTGTGCATGTGTCGCTGTATACCCAGTGTTTCTCCCAGCGTCACAGTTCCTCTGTACAATATGAGGAAAGTCCAAAACACTGCAACCATGTAGAAGATGACATCGCGCAGAAATGGACGAGAAGCTACAGTAAAAGGCTTGACCAGCGCCACGCTGCCAGCAACTACTGTAGTAACAAATATCCCGGCTCCTGGAAAGGCAAACAGGCTGTCACATCTCAAGGCGTTTTAAAATTTATTTACATATCGTGTGAGCGTGCGCGAGTCTGTGCCTACCAAATAAGGCTCCGACAGCCAACCCCGCTGTGTGCGGGTGGGAAAATGCTGCAATGGCACTGAAGATGTCAGGAGCTCCATTACCAAGAGCCAGAAATGTCACACCCTGATCACAGGCAGCAGTCAAGGAAAATATTCTTCTCAGAAACTATAATATAAACATTAGTGTGCAAAAGTTTTGAGCCTCCCCTTATTTCTTTATTTTTTTGGCTTCCAAGGAGCCAGACTTTCTCGTAATCTGGTTTTGAGCAATAGCTCTCCAGACTTTTTGAAGGCATTTCTAAGTATTTCTTTGAACATTTGCTGCTTTTACACTCATTTTCAGTCCAGTTCTTGGACTGACACTTTTCAGTAGAGTGAGTGTTTTTTGTGATATTGATAGAAAAAAGAAAAAAATAATAAATTTGGTTTCCACTGTGTGTAAAAGTATTCATGGCGTCAACATTATTAGAGCAGTGTAGAATTGCACAAACTCAGTTATTTCTCATCTTCTAGTCTGTATTTCCATACATTTCAATAAATAGCTGCACACTTCCAAAGAATTGAAAAAGAAACAAAAAAAGGTAGATCAATAATTTTGCCCAGTACTGTATATTCTAATATTTAACAGTCTAAGAGGTCAAACAGAAACTTCAGACTGCAGCCCATGGGTAGTGTTCAGGCGATGGAGAGAAAGGATACGGCCACATTGTGGGTGAGGCGCAGACTGGAGGAGATGGCAGACAGGTTGGGACAGAAGCTGGAGAGAGGGGGAAAAATAAATACAATTCAATAATCTTATTGAGAAAACAAAATAATTTAATACCTCAATTTACAAAAAAGCTATGTCTCAATAGATACTTTTCACTGAACACACAACAGCTTCTTTGCAGTAGTGTGTGAAGTGGGTAGGTTTAAAAATAAATAAATAAACAAACAAAAAACAGAAGCAACAGTTCTTTCTTTGAGGAAATCTCACAATCTTGCAACAAAAGTGAAACAGTAGTGAAAACTCTCCACTCATGTGACTTTTCTTTGCACGACCATTTCGCTGAAACCATGATGTGTGTGTGTGTGTGTGTTGAATAACACCAGCGACACTTACAACTTAGAGGCAGTAAGTCCCAGAATAATAAACAAAAAGAAGAGCCATATAATCTGTGGAGAAGCAGAAAAAAGACCGCAGTTGTTGGTTTGTGAGGTAAAAACTATTGTTTAAAGAAAAGAAAAGAAAAAAAAAAAAAAAGTGTGAGTGCCTTTACATTTACAAACATGACACTGACTACATTGGTCATATTGTCCCTGACCATAGATTTCTCTTTTAAGTTTCATTTGCAGATTCTCACTTACACCGTTTTTAACCAAACACTTCAGTTAATCCCATTTAAGACTTTGGGTATCTTGCAAACAGGGGAACTGGAAAATATCCACCATTATGAAAACACATTTAGCTAAAGCAAAAAGCTGATTGTTTTCCTAGTTCTGTTGAAGCAAAGTTTACTTCCTCATGTGAGTTTTATGTTGATTCACAAACGGTAACCAAGCCCAAAAACAGAAGCACCTAACACATCTCACCCACATTTAAAAAACGGTTTAGCTCACAAGGTAAAAAGGTGACCAATATGTTATAAGGATAATGCCACCTGGTCTCTCCCAGCTTAATTGTTATAGAAATAATATAGAAATAACTCAGAGTCTTACACAGAAAGAGATGGTGAGTGGTGTGAGGTTGGGAGGCAGCAGACAGAAGGCCACTTCAAGGTAATTGATGAAGCCATCTTCCATTGAACAGTCTGGTGTTTTCTTCACGAATGCACAGCGGTCTGCAACGCTGTAGTTCATCACCAAGTCGCACTGCACACACACACACACACAGTTATCTAAATGGCTCAACATTTTCATGCAATCATTTGTGGCTTAAACAGTGGAACAACAACATGTGCATCTCTTTCGTAATGACTGATGAAGGTGAGTGTACCATTCATTTATTTTTGTGTTTAAGATAAGATAAAACTTTATTAATCCCTCGAATAAGAATACAAGTGAAGAGGCACTACAGCTTAGTTGTCCCCCCTCCTTTGTCCTCCTGTTTCCCCTCCCTTTCCCCTCCAGAGAGGAGTTAAACAGTCTGATGGTGTGTGGGACAAAGGAGTTTAAGTCTGTTGGTTCTTGTCTTTGGGAGAAGCAACCTGTCACTGAACAGACTCCTCTGGTTGTTTATGGCCGTGTGCAGAGGATACCCAGCATTGTCCATAATGTCCAGCAATTTTTTTAGTGTCCTTTTCTCTGCCACTGTCACCAGAGTGTCCAGCTTCATGCCGACCACAGAGCCAGCCTTCCTGATCAGTTTTTCCAGCCTGGATGAGTCCTCCTTTGCTGTGCTGCTCGCCCAGCACACCACAGCATAGAAAAGTACTCCAGCAACCACTGACTGGTAAAACATCCTCAGGAGCTTCCTGCAGATGTTAAAAGACCTCAGCCTCCTGAGGAAGTACAGTCGGCTTTGGGCTTTTTTATACAGGTGCTCTGTGATGCATGACCAGTCCAGTTTGTTGTCCACCCACAGCCCGAGGTACTTGTTGACCACCTCCACCTCCTCTCCCTCTATCTGAACCGGCTTTATATATTATATACTTTTTAGATATATTTAGGCTTTATATATTTGAATATGAATGAAACCACACTACAAATCCATCTGAATATAAGTAATAATAATAATAATAATAATAATAATGGATTGCATTTATTTGCCTTTTCTAGGCACCCAAAGCGCTTTACAATTCCACTGTGGTGAAGGCAAGCTACAAGTTGTAGCCACAGCTGCCCTGGGGCAGACTGACAGAAGCGAGGCTGCCATATCGCGCCATCGGCCCCTCTGGCCAACACCAGTAGGCGGTAGGGTCAAGTGTCTTGCCCAAGGACACAATGACCAGGACAGAGAGAGCAGGGGGATCGAACCGGCAACCTTCCGGTTACAGATGAGCTTCCCAATCCCCTGAGCCACAGCTGAAACATAGGCGCTACATTTTGATATAACAACAACAACATCATCATCATCTAACAGCACTGAGATGCATGCAATCATGATATAAGGTGATAAATAACAAATCACCAGAAAGCTCTTTAATTTTGGATCACTGCTTACAATGGGCCTGCATACCAAGAGACCACATTAACAAATTTGTC